TATATATATATTGAGTTTATATTTAAATTTAATTATTATGGAAATGATTTAGGGTATTCAAGCTTCGCCAACCTTGGAATTGTGTGCAAATGCTGTGATGGTGCAGGAGGTGAATGCAGGACTACAATGGACATTGCTTCTTGCCCTAAGCCAAAGCGTCAGTGTCATTCATGGAAGTTCCACTGACTTCATGAAAAACTTTATACTATTTGCTTTGCAGCTGCTCTCTCTTTCTACTAAATAAGGGGATAAGTACTTTATAGGAATTACTTTAGTGTGTTTAGGCAAACTGCAGTTTGATTATATATAGTTTTTATTTTTAGATGATAAATATGATAGTTGTAATTTCAATTCTATAAGATAAAATGAAGACTTCATTTTAAGCTAATTTTCATGTAATGGTAATATAAAATTAGAATTATGAGTGTCAATAAAAATTAAGTTATACAACAAAAAATAATTCTCTTTTCTTTATCGTGGATCACATGGTCCACAAAACAGCTGTCATAGAAATCAACAAACATTAAAATGGTGTGCCACGAAAATTACAGCGGAATTTAATTGGCTTGAATTCCATAACACAAAATATTCTTCACTACCTGCAATTTGGCTAGAGTATAATCTATCTCCTTGTACAACATAAGTGGTACCAATTTTTTCCTCAACTAGTACCCTACATCTTTAAAAGTATTACAGTTAGACCCTGAATCAGCTACAGAAAGGAAAATTGATCTTCTATATTTACAGTTAATGCATATGTTGTAGTAGTGAAACCCAAATGGTAAATTTACTTGATGAAGATGTCTGATTCAATCAAAGTTCCAACATTCTGTTCTGCCCTTATCTTACTCTATCCAAAAGGAACCTAAATGGAATGATGTCAAAGAAAATTCCCGAACATCATCCCAAGTTTTCAATAAGAATTTATTGTAAATCATTTATACTCCTTCCATATCTTTCTTCTTTCTATAACGTCCAGACATTCCCAGCAGGTAGATCACACGTGACATGATTCTCTATGCTAATCCACTAAAAAGAGTACTTCTCTCAAGCTCTTCTTCACGAATCCTCTTAAAAATTCCGTCATTTTCCAAAGATTTGGATTTGGACTCAATCTAATTTGAGTTATTTTTATACAGTTGATATACAAAAAAAAATCTTATCATATGTAATAAAATTAAACAACAGGTATATGTCGCTAAATTAAACACATTGATACATACCAATACATGTACCAACCGTAACTTTTGTTCGTGAAAAAGAAAAAAATTGTCTGTTTTTCTTCTTTCTTTCTTTTTGATGGAAGATCTGATGATCTGAATTCTATTTCTGGGTTTTCAGTTTGAGATCTTCTCAAGAAACCATGTTTATCCCCATCCATGCTCTGTTTTGTCATTTTGGTATCTTATAGAATCATTTTCCTTTTATAAGCATAAATTTGTCAAAGCTTACAATACACTGCATCACACAAACAGCATATGAAGATCATGGCTAGACTTATAATAACATGAATAAAGTTCGGAACTTACTATTTTTCCAATAACCTAATGTTATTTGAGTAAAATTTGTGCATGACTGTTAGAATCACGCATCCATAAAAAATACTTGTAAAGAACTTTAAAAATTCACTAAATTTATGAGCTAAAGTTTATTCTAGAAATTTAAAATTAAGTTTTAAAAAGTTGAAATAAACTTCTAGAATAATTAGGCACTTCTCAAAAAGATTGTATTTGACTAAGCTTTTATAGAACCAAAATGAATAATACACTTTACTTATTTTAGGCATTATTTTTCCTGCTGTGCAAGATGGCACCTTCCCCACCCCACCCCAAGTTGAATGAAAAACTTTTTCAATCAACCTAAATAACATATATTCGGTCTTTGATTCTTCAAAGATTTACAGTGACGATAGCAAAACCATAATAATGTCTTGATTTGCATGTATCCAACTACATAGATTTCTTCTTCTTCTTCTTCTTCTTTTTCTTTTTTTTTTTTTTTCTTCTTTTTTTCTTTTTTGTGAAAATAGGCAATGGAACTACAGATTTCAGTTTCAGAAGAAAAAAGAAAAGAAAACAGAAAAAACAGAGTAGTCAACTGTTCGGCGTAACCCACAACATCAACATGACCCCAACCAGCTTATCCATTTACCCTCTGAGTCGTCTTCTTCAGAAGAATCAAAACCCTGATCAACGGCTAGGACAAAGGTCAAAGTGACTCGTAGAAGCCAAAGGTTGGATCTGAGGAGATGTCTACTTGGGTGATTGAGGAGAGGAAACATTGCACATGGACTTTATCAGGTTCATCAGCATCCTAACAGGTGTCCCCTGCTTTTCTGGGGCTTATAAATACCACAGTATGTATCATCATTAATTGCATATCTAGGAATTAAAATCTTTCACGTGCTTATCTGCAAACCTTATCCTGTCTCTTCGGGCTTCGTTTCATCTCTCCTGGTCGTTTCTCGTTATCAAAAGGTAGTTTTGTTCGTTGGTTGAGAGAGGAAGTTACTGATTTCGGTGACATGGAGAACAGAAAGACGGTCGGTGACTCTTCTTCTTCCTCTTTGGATCATCTCTTTGGTCCTAAGGACTCTTCTTCATCTTCCTCAAGTGGGGTATTTGGGTCTATTTTCCCACCACCTTCAATGGTATCCTCCTCCTCAATGCATGATGGTTTTTATATTCTGCATTAGAAAATTAAGCTCACATTTGAATCGCCAGCTAGTTACTTCCACGGTCGATGTGCATACTCTGTGTTTTGAATTCTTTTTCTTTGATATGTAATTTTAGGTACATGGAAGGGACTCGGCTCACTCTGGAATCATGGGGTCGCATTATCATGGTGGAAATGGGAAATATGGGAGTCCCGGTAATACAGCTGATTATAAGAAAGGGGAAAGGAGCGGGACTGCAAGGAGTTCTGTTTATCAGAATGAAACAACTGAGCCTTGCTATTTCAGCTCTTCAATCTACTATGGAGGCCAAGAGAACTACTCTTCAACGAAGAAGACAACAGAATCTCCTCAGTTCGTAAGTGTAAAAGCTTGTTCTGAATGTTCATTTACATTTGATTTCTAGATCATAAAAATCTGATGCGGTTTTCATTTTATCCCTGTTTTCAATTTCACCAGTTAAAGAAAGATGGGGGTGATGATGATCCCAATGGAAGCAATTCCAATAGTGCTTCGAGAGGGAATTGGTGGCAGGGTATGTCAGTTGTGCATCTGAAGATAAAAATGAGAAATTCTATTGTATCATGGGATACTTTAATATGGTATTTCAAGTCAGTATGAAAATGATATTTCAATTAAATATGGTATACCTTGATATAATAGAATTTTTTTTAGGGATAAATGATTTAGTTATGGTTATAGACAAATTAAACAGTCTTTAATCATGCTTATTATTTGTTTCTGCAGGCTCTCTTTACTACTAGCACATCCAAATAATACAAATTAGCCATCCAAATATATCATATATAAGGTACTAAAAACCACCCTACTTAGTTCTTTATGTACGGTTAAATGTTAATTTTAGTCCCTTAATTTTAATGTTCTAAATAATTTTTGTCACTCAACTATTTTAACTATTTTTTTTGTTCTTAACTCCGAAATGTATTCTGTCAATTAATTCATTAAGTTTGTTCATATATGCATATTTTTAATCCTTGGATGCATAAATTTAAGAACTAAAAATGTGCACTTTAAACACACTTAACGAACCAATTGACAAAAGCACAAAAAACATGTATTTTCAAAGTTAAAAGGATGACAAAGACGAAAAAAAAGTTGAAAGACGAAAACTGTGCAACTTTTTAAAGTTGAGAGATTAAAATTGGAATGTAACCTTTATGTACTTATGATTTTGCGTCGTGTTTACTCTGATTCTTAGTGAATCTTGTTTCTTGCAGGATTAGTGCCTTCTTAGCATGGGAAATAATGAGTAGAGAATACAGATAGCACTTGTGGGAGCATGTAGGGTTCTTTTTGTACCAACAACTTCAACTAGAGCAAGTCTTACCTAATATATCTTTGGGGGTGTTTGCGGAAATCGCTCCACCAGACCAGAAATCTTGTATCTTGTATCTTGTACTGAGCTGCATTTAGGGCTTGTCTTTGAAGTAAAATATAGCTTGATTAAATATTCTCGGTTCTCCTTGTCTCTGCTTTTTGGTGTCCATAATCAAGCGTCAAGAATATAAGAAAGAGGTCGCCCAGCAGGAAAGATAGATGTATAACCTAATAACTTTTATTTATCATTCAAATGGCGTGATTTAATTGGTAGTTTCATCAGCCTAGATGAAGTAGCTACAGTGAACTGACTCTTCAAGTCCAATGATTTGTCCCCAAATCTTAATGTTCGTCTCCAAGTGTTAATGTTTGGGTTTAATTGCTCGAAAATTCAACTTATACCAAATACATGAAACAATTCTCTTTCGCCTATGATTCTCTATGTTAAAAAAAAAAAAAAAAATATATCCAGCATAGTGGTCCTGCAAATAGTGACTATTCTACAAGGACTGGAAACTTGATTCAGTCTTCACACTCATAGTTATTGTCTACTGGCTAAGCTGCAATGCATTAGAAGAAGTTTCAAAAGATGCAAAACAAAAGTAAAATGAAACTAAAACAGTGAAAATATGAATAAGAAAACAAACACTGAAGGTGTGAAATACCTCCACACTGCTAATCAATAGGACGATCAGCAACATTGCAGCAGTGGGGGATGGTCACTGCAACTCCTGGCTTAACTCCAGAGCTCTGAGCCGTATTTAAAAGCATAACAGCACAGAGGCAAGCTGGATTCTTGCCCATTATCTTCACTTGTCAGCAGCAAATGTCGGAAACTTGAACATTTATATCTTGTGCTGGCATTGCACAAGAAGCAAGCTTAAAAGCTTCCATTTCAGGAGATGATTTCCCACATTCCCCAGCCCGATCTACCTCATTGAACCCATTGATGGCCAAAACAACAAGATACACTTAATTGGAGCCTTCATTTCCTCAATGCAATGCACCAAACACTTCCCAACTTCGCAATTTATACACAAACAAGCTCCTAAAAAAATCACTAATGGATGTGAAACCCACAAATTGTACTGAAGCACCAAAGAAAACGTCTTTTGTTTAGTGTATCACCTCCTAATATAGTGTAAAATCAATTGTTGATAATTTAGGGAATTTTCAATTCTACTTCAGTTCTCAAGAATTGGAATGAACGGAATGAATCCGTTACTGAGGTAACAACTCTACCGTTTAAAGTCCACAAGCACAAAAGTTCAAACTCAACTTATTAGAAATAAGTGATCATTTACAAATCATATTCACTCACAGTTGAGATTCGGGGCGTTACAAGAACCCTATCAAATCTTGCAAATTACAGACTAAAAAAACTCAGAAACTCTTTAATTTCACATACTTCGGCAAATCAAGATTTTACAATTTATTGCAATTCACTGAAATCATACAACTTACAACAACAAGAATAGAAAACAACAGAACATCTAGAGAAACTAACGAATGAAAGAGTACAAAACTAGGCAGACATAGATGAAGAGCGCGACCGGGACTAAAATCACCAGCGGCACCACGGCGGCAAAGGCGTAGATGGTTCCGCAAGCCAAAGTTCCCAGCTTGATCTGCACCACATTAATCAAAGCCAGCATCAAGAATCCGCATCCGAAAACAGAGCCCACAGCCGAGACCAACATCCCAATCTGAAGCAAATTCTTATTTATCTTAGCAAGGAAGCTGAACTCAGTGACGAAATACTCGGTTTTGGAGATTTGGAGGGCTTGCTTGAGGGCCAAAGCGATGATGCTGGAGAATAGGAAGGAGCTGAAGGAGTAGACATGGAAGGAAACGAGGTCCTCCGCGATTTTGTTGGTGGGAGAACAGTTTTGGTTTGTAATAAGGGACGGGTTGGAGCCGATTTGGTCCGCGGGGTTCCAGGTCATCCCCAGAAAAACGGCGAGCGTGAAGAGGGAGTTCACGTGGACGATGCCGTCGAGGGCGTTGACGTGGATACTGGTGGCCATTGTAGGCAATGGAATTCGACAGTGCAAGGAGTTTCAGGGCAATCCGACTATGACAAAGAGTCAAGGATGGAGCACATGAGTTTTCGAGTTTTCGCCGGAAAATGGTACAAAAAGGATGCTGAACTGAGCGGAACAGAAAGTAGAAGAAAAAGAGAGAGATTTGTTAACGGAAAAAGCAATTATTTGTATTTCATTGAGGGTTTCCGTGAAGGAAAAAGGGAAAAGGGGAAAAAATTGCGCCGTTGCCGGGGATCGAACCCGGGTCGCCCGCGTGACAGGCGGGAATACTCACCACTATACTACAACGACTCCTACGTTTGAAATCTTCTATTATACAATTTAAAAGTTTATTAATTTTTTGAGTTTCTGATACACCTACCAGAGTAAAATTCTTTATTATATTGATTATTTCGGTTGTTAATGATTTGATTTGTGGCGTATCACCATTTTTTCACATTTTTTCTGATGAAACCCTTCTACTCAATAGTCAAATTTCAACACCAACCTTCCTAACCACCATTTTCAATTTTTTTTGAACATCAGAAGGATTATCTATTACTACAAGGAAACATTACCTAACCAGGATTTAAATAATATAGGATAAAAATCTAATTTAGTCTCTTAACTTTTAGATTTATGTCAAAATTGTTTGTAAACTTTAAAAAATACTAAAATTATTCCTAAACTTTAATTATTGGTACCCAAATAGTTTTTTTTGTTAAGGAAAGTGCCATGTGATTTATTGTTTTGTGACAAAATTAGTTTTTTAAATGTTACCGATGTGTAAAATCAAATAATCGTATTTTGTCATGGCAATATATTTACATTTGTATATCGATTAACGTGTAATTAAAGTTGAAGGACCAACTTCATACTCCTAATAAAAGTTTAAAGATTTCATTAGTACTTATCTAGTTCAAGAACTCAGTTGATATTAAAAATTAAAGTTTCAAAACTATTTTGGCATTAAATCTTAAAGTTTAAAGATAATTTTAATATTTTTTAAAGTTCAAAAACAATTTCGATATAAATTTGACAGTTAAGAAACTAAATTAGTGTTTTAACTAATAGTAGAACAGTATAAAATTAGACAAAGACCCAACGTTTCATTTTTTAGATTTTTAAAAATTGTTATATTTGTCATTCAAGGGCATTTGGTCTAGTGGTATGATTCTCGCTTAGGGTGCGAGAGGTCCCGAGTTCAATTCTCGGAATGCCCCAATATTTTACTTTATCCTACTAGGTGTTGAATACTTGAATATGAGCAAGAAGCACTCGTCTATATTCTATCTGGTACGATCTCAGTTACATTGTTATTCCCATAAGGGATAAGCACCCAATGACCCAAATACATGATTCACTGAAGCAGAAAAAGGAAATACCAATTCATAGAAATCAGTATTTTACTATAGGAAGCTTACTAAAGTTTTCTCCTAATTCTCATGCTGTACTTAACTCTTACTTTTTAGAAGAAATCTCAATTGTCTTGACAGTATAATGGGGTGTATTCTGATGCATTCAGCTTCCATTTTGTTGTGATGATGATTGTTTTGATGCATTCTGCTCCTCTTGATGTGCTGAGCTCTCTGTGGTGTTGTTGTTTGGGATTGAGCATGAACCATCAGCTGGATTGCCACTTATCCTTGCTTTTGACTCGACACCAAGGTAATTAGTCAAAACCCTCCTCACTCCAAAGCCACGTCGATGAGGCTTGTTGTTGTTGTTCTCCTTGAGAAAAGGAGTTACCTCCCTCCTTGTAGGGCTGAGTAGCAGTGCAGGTGAAAAGCATGGTGTGGTAGAGGCTGTTATGTAAGGAGTGCTCAGAACGGGCACTGAATAAGGGATTGTAACCTTCTTGTGAGCAATTACACTCACTGAAGGGACTGATAATGACAGTTTATCTGAATGTTTGCTTAAGTCATCCACATACAACAAATCATCTATACGAGCAACAACGTTATATGCCAGGCTTTCCAGAACTCTTGAATAGCTTTCAAGAATGGATTTTCCAACATCCTGAAAAGTTTGAAATCAATCAGCTTACTGTAAGATACTTAATCAGGTAAATAAAGTAGCAATGTGCAAAATCTGACCTTGTTGCACTGGATTTTGCTGGTATCTAAGGTACTTTGAGACAAACCAGGAAAGCGTTGTTTCAAGCAAAGCAAGAGGCTTTCTGCTCTTTCTGCTAGGAATTCTCTCTTGTCTCCATCAACTACTAGGTCCTTTACCATCTCCCATGATGACTTTGCAGCAGAACGGTTTGGATTAATTGGTAACTTGGAGTGAGCTCTTCGACGCCACACATATATTGAGGCTTCCACACGGTTTGCAATCTCAATAGCCATGTGTTCAGAGGACAGATCAAGGAAATCAAGCAGGCACTCTGCTGAGAATTGATCAGATGTGATATACCGATAAATGATGTCCCCTAGGCAAGCTCTTCCATTCTGCAACAAACATTAACATTTTTTCTTTTTGGTCAAATCAATGGAGCAAAAACATTAACAGCACTTCTTATAATTAATCATAATAGTATAGCATCAAGGATAAGGTAATTTACTTATGACATTACAACAAATCAACTCATCATGTGTTCAAACTCTTTGTACCTTGGGAAGTGCTTCCAAGTATGAGTCAGGAACTTCCATCTCTGATAAGGTAATGCTGTTAATGGCCATTGCAGCTTTCAGTATCTGATTAGTGCATTCCCGAGTGTGGTTCAATTGCTTTCTTGAATCCTCACTGAGACCACCAGGAGGCACACGAGGGACAGGTAGCCACCACTTCTCCCCTTGGCGTTGAATTATTCTTTGAAAGGAAGCTGAGCCATCAGCTTCAGGGGCAACAATCCCTTGATCCACATACCAAAATTCTGTATTGGTAAAACTATCTAGTATTTCCTGTCATGGAAAAATGGGTTAAGAAAATGTCTTTTTGACCAAAATTAAGATTTTGCAAGTGAAGTAAGCTTTGTTGGTCCTTACAAGAAGCATGTTATCTAGTTTATGCAGAGCTGGAAGATTGATGAAAATATCTGATCTAGGTCTGCAAGCCATAACCTGCAAAAAGAACAGAAGATACTGAAAAATTCATTGCTCACTTTATATCTCAAAAGCTGGAATTCAAAAAGTATTCATTAGATTCTTATTCTTTTTCCTGAGATTAGGAGTGAAGAAAAATGGAAATCACCTCAAGCTTACTCCCATCCGGAAAAGTTTGCCAAGAAGGAATGAGCTCAACAATGTTGTCACAAACACAAAGAAGCAATTCCATCTCTCTTCTCCAGATGGATTTCTTCCCATCGGGTATGGGTTCCAATCTCCATAATTGCCCAAATATTGAAGCTGAAAATAAAATTTGCTAAATTGACAAATTGAAACAATGAGAAAATTTAACTAAATTCATGCAAAATCGTCTCTAAAGCATAGAGCATACCACAGAGATTGGTAATGGCATTTGAAATAGCCAAAGCTGTGCAAACCCCTTTTCCAGACCCTGACATATCTTCCCCAAGCAACAATTTTGCAAACCTTTCCTTCATCATTTCAATCTCTATTCAAACCCCAAAAACCGAAAAAAAAAAAAATAATAATAAGTCCATTTTCATCAAACTATACATACGTACAAAGCACAAGATGGGGAAAACATAACTGACCTGAAACCTTTGCACCCAATTTCTTAAACCTGGAATCCTCGGACTCGGTCATGTCTTCGTCTCCATTGACATCGGAAAGAACCGAGCTTTTCGACACTGTAGCACTCTTTGTGGGCCTTACAAACAGCGGAGGTGAAGAGGACCCGATTGTCTTAACTTTCTCAGTGAAAGTCCCCAAGCACGACTCACTCGAACTGCTCTGTCTTGACTCAGAAGTACTCAACTCGCTGACGGACTCAATATCATTACAGAATTCAAACCCATCTTGTTTCTTCACCGAATTCTCCATTTGAAACAGCTTTTCTGGTTTCCCCCTTGACACAAAAACCAAAAATTTTTCCTAAACCCCTTCAGAAAAGAGAGTAGGCTACAGCTCGAAATGGGAAAACATGATACTGAAAGGATGAGCTTTCTGGGTTTTGAGCTTTATTGTCACTGTTCTTGTCATGCTCCTCTAAAGATTTGATTTTGATTTTGAACTGAGGAGACAGCACGTGCCATGGTAACGTCTCTCTTGATCGTTTGTGCTCTGTTTCTCACTTGACTCTCGCCCTCAGTCTCTGAGTAAAGAAGAGGTTCAAAGTCATGATAAAATAAAGACCGACAGGCGGCTACGGAAGGACGTCGTCAATGGACGTGAACGTATATGACAATTTTACCCTGCCGTTGTGTCCTATTTACTGCCATTATCCATGTCAAATCTGCCCCTCAAAGTCAAACTAACAGCTACTGTTGTTGCGTACGTTTCAGCTCACGTGATGGGGTAATGAATATCTGATAAAATTACAATGTTTCAACGTACAACGATAAAATTAACTAGCCAATTATTTTATTTAAGTGGTGTAATGGTGATTTATTTTTATAAAATTAAGAGATATTATTTTTTACTCGTATAATTTAAAGTTAATATATATTAGTTTTAATTTTTAAAAATAATTAAAATTTTAATTTATATATAAAAATTAAAATCATATTTTATTAAAAAATGGTTATTTAAATTTAAAAATTCATTATATATTTTAATATATAAACATTCAATAAAATAATTTTTTAAATTTTAAATTAAATTTTAATTAAATAAAATAACATAAGTTAAAGTTAAAACTTTAATTATTTTTTAAAAATTAAAATTGATATACATTTTTTTAAAAAAAATTATAAAAAATTAATTAAATGATAAAAAAATTATTTTTTGTGTCAATATACTTAAAATTTAAGCTTTAAAACTAACATAAAAATTAATATTTTTTTATTAATGAATACGAGCTGGTCGTATTATATTCTCATTTTAACGTTGGCGGCGTTCATATTTCCATGGCATTCCATTTGAGCTCCTGTCATTCCTGGTTGACTATTTAGTGCATGGCTATTCTGTAACTATACTATATGAGAAGGGTTAAATGGTAAATGTGCTGGTGGATTTTGAATTTAATAAGAGATTCGGTGACATGTAGCCGTTTTTAGGCTTTTAAGGCAGAGAACAGAACCAGATGGGTGCTGCTTTCGGCAACTAATGAATGTTTGTCCTTGTGTCTCCTTCTTCTCCACCTTTCTGCTGCTGCTTCACCTTTTATTAGTTGGGTTTTAAGGTCCCCTTTTCATTAATTTGTATTATATATATATTAATATAAATTTTAATGTTATTATCAAGTAAATAAATTTAAGGGTTTGCACTTG